AACAATAGAAAGTCACTAAGCAATTCAAATTAAAACGCTAAAATTAAATTTATCTTGTTACTAGTTGCTCGCATCTTTTATAAACATTTTTTTTTCTAACGCTCGTTTTTTAATCACTTAATTAAATCTGAAAAAAGTTAGTTTCAAACTACTGTGAGCTAAACAATCTAGTGAATATTTATATTTCTGAACTCCAATAATACATAAAAAAAGAAAATAAAATGCATCTTAGAAATTTTTAATAAATCAATACTAACATTTGTGATGTTATTAATAAACCATACTATATCAATAGCATACCAGTATTATTAAATATCTACACGACCATCACATAAGCACCATCTAAAAAATTTGTACCAATTAAAGTACTCCAATATTAATATCCTTTTTTCATATATGTGCACAGGTAACTTAGCATTCTCCCACTAATACCATAAAGGGGTGACTTTATCATGGTCAATCATGCACATACAAATATATAATTAAAATAATAATTTTTAATAATAAATATTTTATTTTCATTTGCATAAAAGTCAATATCTTTATACAAGATTCAATATCTACAATAATTTAAAAAAAACTGAACACAGATCATTCATACAAAATGAACAAAATCTCTTAGAATCCTAAATCATGGGTATGTAGTACCATAACAATAACAGTAAATGCAATTAGTCAAGAAGAAACAAAATATTACCATAGTATTAGAATATGAGTACACACATCGATGTCTATTAAATTGTTATTTGATTTGTCATAATGTCGACGCTTCTAAAATGGAACGCCTAAAAAAACATGGTATTCATATGAAAATTTAATTTTTTTTATTATGTTATTAAAATTTAATAATTTAAATTATTTTAATTAGCTAAAAAATTATTATTTTACTTAATATAATCTTATTTATTTTTTTATTCAATATATATGTGTGTGTGTGTTTAATTATATTATTAAATCAATATAATAGACTATTATCATATACCCTTGTCGAGCCCTAAACATGTGCAAACTGCGATTCCACCTCCTCGGATTGACCTCTTGCACGAACGCGCGAATGTTGTCACCGCCTTCTTACTCCCTTTTTTTCTCCTTTAGTCACTCAACATCGAGTGATCATTGCACAAAGGATCTTTGTCCATAGTGAAGATGAAGTCTCATTTCGCCGCTAGGGTTGGCCAACCTCTTCATCCTTAAATTTCTTCTTCTCCTCCTTCAGTTTCTCTCTCTGCACGTGGCTCATCATCTACCTTCGCACCAAATGCCAGCTCAAAGCTCGATAACGCCACAAGAGCAACTTTTCCTTAATCAGCCAGGAACCAGCTGCTCCACCTTTGCACCAAAAATTGCTTGACCCTACAGGTAAATCACTTGTGATGTTTTATAGAGTGAAATTTACCTTCTTGGCTTCCCGACTCTTTCTCTTCATCTCCCATTTCTTCGACTACCTGACCCTCTTGACTCGCCTCCCCCTCTTCGGCTTCCCGACTGTTCGATAGGGTTGGCCAACCTCTTCATCCTTAAATTTCTTCTTCTCCTCCTTCAGTTTCTCTCTCTGCACGTGGCTCATCATCTACCTTCGCACCAAATGCCAGCTCAAAGCTCGATAACGCCACAAGAGCAACTTTTCCTTAATCAGCCAGGAACCAGCTGCTCCACCTTTGCACCAAAAATTGCTTGACCCTACAGGTAAATCACTTGTGATGTTTTATAGAGTGAAATTTACCTTCTTGGCTTCCCGACTCTTTCTCTAAACTGGAAGTTACATGTGAACTCCTCCACGGAAAGGCTTCGTTGTTGTGGATTGTGGAGTTTCAGAAACATGACTTGGCGATAATGAGATGGAAGATATTTCTTCTACATGGCTTTCTTCATCTTCTTCCACTTAGTAATCTTATCGCTATCTTCTCTTTTTCCTCCATCTTTGCAAGTTCTCACACCACAAAAAGGAACTCTTCTTCAACTTGATAGCAGCTAATTTGACCCGTCTATTCTCTGACATATCTTTATACTCGAAGATCCGTTCAACAGATTGTAGCAAATCAATATATTCTTTTGAATTCAACCTCCCTCAAATTCTAGTGGATCTACCTTGATTCTGTAGTCTCTGTGTCCTCCAAATGGTGTCTTCTCTATAGGCCTCCTCTAAAACTGGATTTTACAGTTTGTGTCCTCCAACTGATGTCTTCACTCTTTATGCCTCATCTGATACTTGATTCTGAAACGTTGTGATCTTTCAACTTCATCACTGACATCTTCCTTATGGAAGGGGTTAAAATTTTCATGTCTTTCTCCTCTTTGGCTTTCCCTCTCACCATCAAGGGTAAATCCCACCTACGTGTCATCCCCAATGTGTATCAATCTCTACTAAAGTAGGTGGATCTCTCGTTGTATCTCTTCCCGAGTAGGCTCGGGTAGTTATCTCCATAGTGGCAGTCAAGGGTTTAAAGTTGGGAGATGCAAGAGGGTGTAGGAGACTAATTGACGATGTCAAAAAATTAATTTGGGTAACTGATTTTGAAAATAAGCAAAGAAAAATTAAGCTAAGGTCGAAATGTGTCTAAGGTTAAGAATAGGAAAGAGAATTTTTTGTAGGGGAAAAACGCGGATGCCACAGAAAACCTAGTATATGACTAGGGTTAGGCTAGCTATGAAGAAGCAAATGATACCTGAGTTAACCCAAGACATGATTTTGCTTCAGCAAATAATTTTGTAATTGTTAATACTTTATTAAGAAAAGAGATGGACATATTATTACTTATAAAAAATGGATCTAATAAAACACATTGATTATTTTCTTATGAGGAAAAAAGATCGTCGAGAATGTAAAGATTATAAGGTCATTCCAAGTCAAAATTTAAGTACACAACATCTATTACTAGTTTTGAATTTTAAGATGAAGAGTTGTAAGATAAAAAATACTATAAATCATTGTCATAAAATTATACAAGCACCAAAATAACACAAATAAAATTATTTTTATGAGTAAACTTCAACATTTCAAGATTTGGGATGTTAATGAAGAAGCAAATTTTATCTGAGATAAAATAACAAACACTATTAAACAAGTGAGAAAATATCTACTTGGAAAATCAAAAAAAAATTTACAAATAAAAAAAGTTGGTGGTGGACTAATAATGTACAATAAAATATAAAATATAAGTTGTGTTATAAAAATTGACTTAAATCTAAAAGTTTGGAGAATTAAGAAAAATATAAGGTGACTTACAGCGAGTCCAAGAGAATAATTTGTGATGCTAGAAATTATGTTTGTAGTGATCTTAATAACATATTAGATATTAAAGCGGGTGAAAAAACATATGTATAAACTAGTCAAACAAAGAGAAATGAAAAGTAAGGATTTCACTCAAGTAAAGTATTTTAAAGATGAAAATCAAAAAGTGTTTTTCTAAGAAGAAGATATTCAATATAGATGAGTGAGCTATTTTGAAAAACTTTTCAATGAAGTTTCTGAAAATACGATCGAACTTAGTGATCTTAATATCGTTAATAATAATCAAATATTTTTATTTTTATCATTGCATTAGTAAAAAATAAGTTGATGAGGCTCTGAAGAGAACCAATGATGGAAGATCAGTAGGATCTGATGATATCCCAATTGAAGTGTGAAAATATTTAGGATATTTGAGAGTTCTTGGCTTAATAAACTCTTTAATACTACTTTAAAAGTAAAAAGATGGCTAAAGAGTGGAGGATGAGTACTTTGGTCCCCATTTTTAAAAATAAAAGGGATGCACAAAAGTGTGCAAATCATAAAGAAATTAAGTTGAGGTGTCATACTTTCAAATTATCAGAGAAGGTAATAGAACATAGAATGAGACGTGATAAAGAGATTTCTCATAATCAGTTTGGATTTATGTCGGGTGGGTCTAATATGAAAGTTATACATTTATTGAGAGGTTTGATAAAGAAGTACAAAGAGAATAAGAAGGATGTACATATGATTTTTATTTATTTAGAAAAATCTTAAGAAAAGTTTCCAAAAGATATCATTTGGAGAGTTCACGAGAAGAAAGGTTTTCTTTGAAATCTGGGAAAAAACCTCATCGTGAAGTTCAGAAGTCTTTAAGATTTATTTATAAAGCTTTGAAATAAGTTCAATTCTCTCATCCAAGCTAAGTTAATTTGTCTGATGAATTAAGACATATTTTAAAATCATTTACCAGATTTTAACGGAACGATTCACAAGATCACCGTTAATCTTAAGGAAGTTGGAATAGGATCCTGCCCATACAAAAGTTAGGATATACCATCAGAAACAAAGACAAAAACGACTAGTAAAAATAAATACTTAAATTACTTAGATTGACACTAATATGATGAATACAATGCATTAATTGCAAAAGAAATTGAGAAATAGCTTATTAAGCTATGCTTTTGTTACAAGATAAATCTACTACATTTTGAGATCCCTACTTGAGATACAAAATATTAAAAAAATCTAAAATAGCATAATTTCTTGACTTTTTAGATCCGGTTGGGAGAGTTGATGTTTTAGATTTGAATTATGTTAAGAAAGGCAAAGGTAGACCTAAAATACTTGGGCATATTGTATAAAAAATGATCTTATTCTATTATAACTAAATGAAAATATGACACTCAATAGGTGCAATGGAGAAAAAGAATTCATGTAGCCAACCCCACTTAGTGGGATAAAGCTCATTGTTGTTGTTGTTGTTGTTGTTGTTGTCGTTGTCGTCGTCATCGTAAAAAAAAAAAATTAATGCATCTCTTCAACAAAACCAACATTTCATGAAATCATATTTCTTCAAAAATAAAAAATAGCTTAATATACCAAAAAAGCAATTATTTTTGGAATTATGCTCTTAAATAAAACAATAACTATTCGAAAGAAAATGATACCATCTTGCCAACAAAAAAATGACATCCTCAGACAATTTATACGCAAACTATTTTAAAGAAAATTATGCAAGAAAGACATAGCAAGTAAAAACATTAAAAAAGATATAACAAACAAGTACCTGCACTGCATCACCAACTGTGGTGGTCATGTCATATGTTATTTCTTCAAAAGTTTCATCCAGAAAGAATACTATTGTTGTGAGCTTTTTACCAATCAATAGAGCTTCAATCTCTTCACGCGTGGGTATTGTCATTCTTGGCCCAGACTTCACTGATCGTTTTAAGGAATTCAATGTGTTCAATGCAAGGACTTGAACTTCAGGATCCGTGTTGGCACCATGAACCACATTATGAACATACTCAGATAAATATGCCCCAATATCCTTACTCGGAGGCATTGCAGAAGAAAATAAATACATGAGTTCCCATGCCTTTATTAAATAGGTCCTACAGAATAAAAACGATAACGTGAATGAAATGAAATGACCAACTGAAACATTAGCGCATTGCGATCTCCTTGCATTATCTGAAAAAGTACCTATCAGGATTATTGCGAGTTTGCTTTGAAATCTGGGCAAATACCTCATCACGGAGTTCAGAACGCTTTAAGATTTGTTTATAAAGCTTTGAAATTAGTTCAATTCTCTCATCCAAGCTCAATAAAATTAATTTGTCTGATGATTCAACGCCCATATATTTTAAAATCATTTGGAAGATTTTAACGGATCGATTCACAAGATCACCGTTAATCTTAAGCAAGGAAGTTGGAATAGGATCCTGCTCATGCAAAAGTTAGGATATACCATCAGAAACAAAGACCAAAACGACTAGTTAGAAAAAATATTTTATTTATTTAGATTGACACTAATATGATGAATACAATGCATTAATTGCCAAAGAAATAGAGAAATAGTTGATTAAGATATGCCTCTGATACAAGATAAATCTGCTACATTTTGAGATCACTAAGTGAGATACAAAACACAATAAAAATTCTAAAATATCATAATTTCTTGGATTTTTAGATCCATGATAACTGGATGAAAGATGCAAGCAATAAATTAGCATAAGATAAAATAGCTCATCAACTATTAATATTGAGGAAACAAGTTAAGTAACTACCTTCTGGAAGCATAACATATCCTCCAATGTAAACTTCTCATTAACTGCAGGACCTACAGATTTTTTTGAGAAAAACACACGCTTGCTAGAAGCATTCATTTGTTTCTGCATAGCTCGCAAGAAATTATCAACCTGCAAAAGAAGGTTTGAGGAAGGAAAAGGTTAATGAGTAAAGATTAAAAATAAACTTTATCAAAAATAAATTATCTTATAAAAGTGGGCCTATTTAATGTTTAAGCATCAATGCACTAATTTAGGTGAAACAAGCCCAACGAGCGTTCTTGAAGAGCAAGCATGAATAGAAAATTAACAATCAGCAAAATTACTCTAGATCAATTTAAAGTGCTTTTTGGTAAATATTCTCTTAAATCTTTTGAACATTAGTCATTGATTAAATACTTGGTAAAATCATGTTAAGATTGATGCCTACAACCACCTATAAGAGAGAGTTGCTTGGTTAGTTCTGGTCATTTAGTAAAAGATGTCTGTAAGTTCATTGAATGACTGAAATAAACTATACAATCAACGTTCAAAAATGCTGTGCTGGATAACTATTGGTATATTTGCATTGATATGTTGTGTTGTGTTGTCAAGTAAATAAATGCTCAGTAAAATCATGTTAAGATTGGTGTTTATAGTGCTGTAAGAGTTGTGATTATTTTCTAGAAGATTATTATGACACTAGAGCGAGTTGATTGAATACCAAAAAAATATTTCTATAAATTATATATAATTATACTACAATATTCAAATTTAAAATAGTACACATATAATTACATTAACTAAATCTATAAAGGTGGTTTCTAGAAATTTCTTGAACCAATGTTCTATTAAAGAATCTATCTTTTGACTTTTATTCAGTAATTTTTTTCAGTAGTTTTTTTCATAATTGTTGAACCAAACAACCTATAAACTACTACTATTCAAAAAAAAAAAACATAGGCCACAGAAAGTGATGTCATGGAGCTTACATAAGAACTCACGAATATTGTATTTTTTGGGGAAAAATTAAGTCAGAAAATAGTATTAGGTTTAAGCCATAAATTCTACAACACGACAGTAAATGATTTATATTCATAATAAACCAAATTTCAAAAGAATATTTATAAATTTATATAAAACAATCAATACAAAGAAATATAGAAGAAGCAAAAAAATACACAATTGCAACGTTTTTTCACATTTTTCTTAGCTAAAACGGTGAGAATTACATTTTTCATCAATTAGACTTAAGTTGCTTCTGTTTTATTTTTTTTTTTTTTCTTTTTTTTTTTTTTCTTGCTTTTTTTTTTGTTTAGATTTCTTTTTGCATAAAAAAAAGCATTTCTGAGGGTCTGCTTGTTTCAAGCTTTACTGAAAAAAAAAAAATAGAGAACATAATAGAAAATAAAAATTAGAAATAAGAATAACCATCTGATTAACATAATCCCATTTTATTGCTGATAATCACAAGTAAATCTTATTAGAACATAATTATTATACCTTACCATCATAGTCGCTGACTAATAAACATTAGTTCATCAATAATTTGATTAATTAAATATATCTATTAGTCAAATCAAACATTTTTTTTATTTATACACCTCATTTATTAGCAATAATAAATGATTAATTATAAAAAACAATGGCTAATTAATTGACAATTCCTCATAAACCTTAATCAAATGATTTAAAATCCCAAATCTCTAGTGAATTTAACTAAATCGTTATTTATTAGTTAAATTAATCATTAAATTAATCACTTAATAATAAAGAATTAATTACCATAAAAATTACTAAAAAAACATGTGGACTTAATAAATCAAAATTAATACTAAATAAGAATAAATAACTCATTAATTTTCAAATAAATTAATTAATTATCTTCAACTTAATTACCATAATTCAAACTATTAAAATTTAACCATCTTAATAAAAATCTATTGAATTGTCTGGGTAAATAGTTAATAATTAATTAATCAAGATAGGTAATCAAATTGCTATAAGTGTTTTTAGATCATGGACTATTGCAATTCTTGATAACTCACCCAACAACTTTAGTTTTGGATAGCATTACGTTAGTTATATAAACCTTTTTTGTAATTTGTTGCCATGATGTAAAATTGGATAGCATTAGGTCGAGAACCGAGGATGCCTTGTAGTTAACAACAAATTCTAAAATAATAGAAATTAATTTTCTTTCTTATCCCACATAAAATTTGTTTCTTCATGAACATCCCAAATCTTAAAATCTTAAAATTTACTCAAAAAAATAATTTTATTTATTTCTTTTAGGTGTCTTCATTTAATTCTATGACAATGATTCCTAGTATTTTTTATCTTACAACTTTTCATCTTAAAATCCAGAACTAATAATCAATATTGAATACTTAAATCCTCACTTGGAATGACCTTACAATCTTCACATTCTCAACGATTTCTTCTTCTCATAAGAAAATAATCAATTTGTATTTTATTAAATCTGTTCTTATAAGTAATAATATGTTTATCTCTTTTTTAAAAAAACATTAGCAAGAATAAAATCATACACTAAAAAAAAATCTAATATGATTTTACAGTCTTCAATAATCACTCCAAAACAGTAGCCATTATGAATATTTCTGAAATCTGCTACCTCTCTACCAACATGTCAATTTAAATCTCTTCCACAAAAAATTATTTCTTTAAGAGATATCATTTATATTAATTCTTCTAGGTCATTCCTAAATTTTTCTTTAGAATCTATATCTAAACCTACTTGAGAAGCATAAGCACTTATTACATTAAAAATCTTAGTATCAACAACAATCTTAAGAGCTATAATTTTATCTTCAATTCTATTAATTTTTACAATGTTATCTTTCAAACTATTATTTAAAATTACACCATTTCTAGTGTGACTCCTACCAGAATACCAAAGTTTAAAACCTAAGCTATCAATCTCCTTAATCTTTTCTATAACCGATTTATTTCTTGAATACATATGACATTTATCTTCCTATGAACCATAATATTAACTAATTTCAAACAACTTCAAAGTATTTCAAGTATTTCCAATCAAACACATGTTGACCTCATTTTTAGTGAGGTTTTAGTCTCCTACTCCCAAAACTCATAATCTAGCCTTAGGAGTTCCTTGTTGACCATCCTAGCGGACTAGTAATGAAGCCCACTTCCCGTAGAACTTCAATCCACTTCTCGACTCTGTGAATAACTCGCATGCTAGTTCCAAGTACTCAACTTCTAGTTGCAAATGTTAAGGACCAACATGTAGAGGGCGCGAAAATGAGTTCCTATAGTATCAAACGGTCTTAGGTGAACCCATTTGTGACTCGAATACTCGCGAACGCCGCAATTCACGCACTCACTGCACCACACACGACTTTGACTTGATTTGACTTGCACACCGATGAGTTTGTCCAGACGACCCCGGATGACAAAACGGACCGCCCAAATGCATCTGGAACGTCAACTTTAGCTAGGAAGGACACCCGTATTGCTAGGGTTATGCGCGCGCATAAATGACACGGAAATCGATGCACCTTTTTTTAATTATCAGGTCGTGGGCCCGAACTCAACCCAAGTTCAACTCATGTTTGATTTGGGTTGGATATGGGCTGAACACAGGCTAATTGACTCAGCTTATATGATTTTGAATTTCAAATTTTAAATTTTAAATTTATCATTTAATCGCCCATTAAGCTTTTCCATTTAAGTTGACTGCCTGGAAGGAAATCATTCAATTCCACGTTAATGCTTCACGTAACGGCTCTGAAATTTTTGGCTATACAGTTCAATTCGCCCTCTAAAGGGGGGACTCGCCTTCTTCCTCCGCCATCAAGCTCTCACTGGACCGAAGACCTCTGTTCCCTCATCCCCCTCGATCCCGCTCATCTCCCTCGCTCGATGGGATTCTCCCTTCCGGCAAACCGAAGAGCCTTGCTCCTACGCCGAAGACGTTGCCATTCCTCATTTTCGATCATCTTCCACCCCGCTCGACGATCCCGTTTCCCGCACCGAAGCCGCAGAGCCGCACTCGTCGGCTCGCCTCATCCCTGCGACGAAGGAATCCACTCTCCAGCACTCGCCTGCTCGATCCCGTCTCCCGCTCTCCCGCACTCGCCTGACTTGCTCGATCTCGCCACCCACGCCGAATCTCCCTCGCTTCTTCCGCGAACGTCGAAGCCCCGCTCGACTCCTCACGCCAAATAGCTGCTTGACACTGCGTCCATCCTCTGCGAACCGAAGCCGTCTCCTTCTCTGCGTCGGGCCCGCTCATTTACTTCGCTCTCCCCTGCACCGGAGTTTTCACTCGTTCGCCTCTTCTCTGCGCTGAGTCCACAAACCTCTGTTCCACACCGAAGCTCCCTCACACATAACAACAAGCCTCCCACCGCCTCTCGTCAAAGCCATCACTCTCTAACCCTCTACATAGGTATAATTCCTCTCATTTGCCAAATTTGAATCATGCATTCATTTTTTTTTATGCATTTCTGACTTTTGTTGACAGAGAAATCTGCATGATAAATTCATTTATGATTGAGCTTTATTCATATGAAGTGTTTATCATCATTGAATCCATATTTGTTTAATTTCTTTTACAAATAAAGATATTTGCTATCTGAATTAATATGCTTTGAAGGAGTTATATCCAACAGAATCGATGGAGCGTATTCACACAGTTTAATCTTGATAGTTTGATTGAATTGTTGAGTTTTCGTTTGCACTAAGTTGATCTTCTTGAACATATCAGTTCTCCCTGAACATATTCTTCTTGAACATATCAGTTATTTAAAAGGGCATGTGGAAATTTCTTTTGTGTCCAAGGCATTTATTTGAAGGTATTTGCAATTGTTTTTTTTTTTTAAATATGCTTCCTATCAAGATGAATTGGTGCATGAGTTTTTCTTTCCTCAAAATAAGTAGAATAAGTTGAAAGGAAGAAACACCTACAAATGTATGCAAGGAAATGATTTAATATTTTGCGATACATTGTTGTCAAGTTCTTTTAAAAGTTGATTTGTTGTAAAGCAATGACTTCATGTTTCTTTATTCTTCGCTTTCAAGTTTCCCAGTTGTTTTGGTTGCAATGAAATCAGTTCAAACTTCTTTATAACATTCTTTCTAACTTTTCAAATTTGGTTTGGTTAGAT